AATTAACTTTGCTATAACAATGCATGCGGTCAGATAAAAAACAAAATCCTCCAAGAGAGCCAGCACCCGCCTCCCCACCACCTCCCATTTCAAAGGAATCCATAAATCTGGCTGAGCCATTCTGGCTACTGACCACTAATAGTAGGGCACACAGTCACAGTTCTATGGCATTCTGACCCCTGTGAGGGCCTTCTGAGAACCTTTGTGACCAGCTCAAGAAGCCACTCATAGCTCCTGATCCCAACTGGGAAGGATTTCAAAGGGCTTGGGTGATATTATTCCCATGTTGCAGATGAGCAAAATGAGGAATGTAAGCTTAAGACTTAAATGTACAATCCTAGACAAAGCAGGTGGCAGAAGGAGGATCAGAGCCTGCTTCCTGACTGGGCCCTTCTAAACAGGAGTTTCTTCAGCTCTCAGCATGACAACCGAGCCCTCAACAACTAACAATCCAGGGGCAGTGTGATCTGAGCAGCAGACACTTGGCCAATAAGTCAGGAGACCTGAGTGCAAGTCTATACTGGTCATGGGCTGCTAAGGCTTTTAAGCTCTATTCCTTACCTGGAAACTTCTGAATCACACCTGAGTAGCTGGTACAGGAAGCAGTGCTGATCAGGAAGGGTAAGCAGTGAGAGGATAGTGGGACTGGTTGACTTCTCAGTCTGCTCTGTGACATCCAACACCCACTTGGAAACATTTGCAGATTGGTTTTTCTGTGCTACTGCACCAAGACAGATCCCCTCTGATACTCTCTCCCAAAAAAGTGGAAGATTAACCACTCCTGACCCTCTATTTTCTGCCTTTCTGGATTTCTTAAAGTGTTTCAATGATTTTCATGATATACTGTTAAGCACAGGGGCCTCAAACTGCAGGCCTCAAACTCACATCTGGCCCACTATTTCTTTATGCTCTGTGGGCTAAGAATGGTTTTTACATTTTTAAATGGCTGAAAAAAATTAAGAAGAATAGTATTTCATGAAAAATTATATGAGATTGAACTTTCAGTACCCATAAATAAAGATTTTTGGAACACAGCCATATACACTTCTTTATGCTGTTTACATTGTAATGTTACAAGGTAGCTGTTTTTGTATCACAGAACTGAGTAGTAGTGACACAGACCATATGACCCACAAAGCCTAAAATTTATACTGTCTGGCCCTTTACAGAAAAGTTTAGTTTTTTTTAACCAAACCCTGGTTAATGTAAACGGCAGGCTACAGAATCACCATATCTGCATAATCACCTTGTACACATAAATTGAGGAGGAAAATACACTAAAATGAAGATTATCTCTGGGTGCTAAACTTACATGCAATTATTTGAATTTTTTCACCAAGCATGTTAAACAGAAAGGTATAAACATATTAATCACATTAGGAAAATAAAATAGTAAGTACTTATTCTATCTTACTGTGGACCAGATCATTTTAGTTATTGATGTGCTTCACTTCACCTGGTCCTTTTTCTGCTGCCATGTGTAGGGACCCCTGTACCTCTGTTGTACAGAGGAGGAAAGGAAGACTCAGGGAGTTTAAGTAACTTGCCCAAGGTCACAATGCTAGTTAGAAGCACATTGTATGTTTACATGGAAATACACTTAAGAAACAAAAGGGGAACAGGTTGAAACAAATTCATTTAGGAAGAATGTTTTATTTGAATTCATAGGAGATGAATCCTAACAGATAATAAGGAACTTAGAGAGGCTCTGAGTAGCCTGGTGTCCACTCTACCTCAATAAGGAGGCATCATATTTGTGGCAGTGCCTGAAAAATGGCAGAGCACTGTACTAATGAAGGTTGTGTATTCAGAAACTTGTCAAGGAACAACCTGATGACTTCCTAAGAGTTCCTATCAAATCGTTCTCAAATTAGAAACAACATAAATGTCAAGAAGAGGGGACTAGTTGGTTAAACTATGGTGCTTCCACACAAGGGAATACTATGCAGCAATGAAAGAACCGGGAGATAATCATATTGTTGCTGCTAGTGTTGGTACTGTAGCTCTGAGGCTGCTGTGTAGTAAGGCAGGAGAAAGTGAAAGAGTAACGATGTGAAGTGCTAGTGCTATCATCTGTGGCATCCTTGGGAACCAAGACTCTCAGCATAGAGAAAGGAGGCACAAAAAATAAAAAGCAGAGGTTAAATAAAATCCCCTGTAATTTTCAATTTGAATAGAAAGTATCAGTATGAACTTATGATGTATTTTTAATCACAAACAACAACCACTAATTTCCTAGCTCTGGCCACTGAAAAGGTCTAGAAAGGATGACCAACCCATGAACAATGTGCACCTCCAGTGCCTAGATTATGGTCTCTAAGAACCATTTCTCACCAAGAGAAACTAGGGATCCTTGGAGAAATGGTTGATTCCAGATTTGGGGCTTAGCTTCTTTGCTGTTTGGGTGACATCAAAGACTACCCAGATCATGTTAAAAGGAGCCACTGACAGAGATGGCACAATCCAAGCATCAATAAAAATAATAAATAAAATGGACCAAAACACAGTAAATATGTTTAAATGTGTGAGTTTACAATGATATTAAAAGCAAAACAGAAAGCCCTAATTGGTCACCATTAGAAGATGATAGTAAACCACTCATTATTTTGAAAACTAGAAAATAAAGGGATAGAAGCAAATACTTATCCTATCTTTCCTATACAAATTGTATTATTAGATAATCTAATAGGAGATGTATTTGATTATTTGTATTTCAGTTAATAAATGAAGTGAGATGATAGAGTTAGAATATTACCATTTTGTAATTCCTAATTAATGAATGGATCTAAGCAATAAACATCAATACTTGCTAAAATCACGAGAGAAAACTAGACCTTATGTGTCTTCTGACAAGAAAGCACAACACAATTTATGAAGTAGTTTTGCTCACAAACATCAAATGTAAACCCAGTTACATATCTAAATCAAACTAATTTGTAGGAAATACAGAGGGTAGAAGAACATGTTAAATAGCACCACAGGGCTGTAATAAAAGAAAAAAAAGCCAGGTTGTGAGAATCTCTACAGGACAAAGAATACAATTTCTTTATGGAATAAATTGCAAGGGGGCAAGGAGGGGAGAAGAGGGATACAAAGGAAACCTGTAGATTAAAAGGTATTTGAAAGGCATGTCAATATACTGCAATGTGTGGGCCTGATTTGGATTCTGATTTTAAGTTAAAGATTAAAAAATGGTATTTATGCCACTGCTGTAAATTTGAACAGTTGTTTGGCATTTGGTGATATAAAGAGAATTATCTTAAAAAGATAATTTTTAAGGTGTGATAGTGGTGCTGGTGATGCTACATACCTAGGTATTCACAGATAAATTGAGGAAATGTCTCAGATTTGCTTTAAAATAACCCAGTGGTAGCTGAAAAAGTAGGTGGGGACACAGATAAAATGAGATCAGTCCTGTATTGATGATTGCTCAGGCTGGATAAGGGCCCATAAAGGTTTTTGTTCTGCTCTTCCTACTTTGCCACATGTTTACACATATCTATAATAAAAGATTAAAATAAGTCCTTCCTAACATCATGCCAGAGTGCTAATGGTAGATGGAGTGCATCATGGTTCTGACCAGTATCCCTGGTCTCGTGTTTTATGAATAATGGAGAGTTGAGTTCTGTGTTTTAGACCATTCATCTGAGAGCCTCTCTATCACCTACGGAGCTTCTCCATCACTCAAGGAGCTTCTCTATCACCCAAGGAGCTTCTTCATCACCCATGGAGCTTCTCCATCACTCTCCTTATCAGGATACATCAATATGCGCTTGGGAGCATATACATAGACACATACAAAAAAAGATCTCTCATGACTTAAATATTTTGCCTTGAAGCTGCAAAGAGTGTGAGGAAGTTGCACTTTCCTAAAGCAATTAACACTGAACTCTATAGAACCAAATCTGCCTGGCACCGACATTCAGCAGAACTCATGGCCAGGGAAAGAGAAAGACAGTTATGGTGTTGGGCTTGGGAGGTGTTTCTGTTCTGAAGTTCTGAGCAAATAACAAGGCAAATTTGGCTGACAAGGGACACTGGTTGTGTTCCTAAGCTATTATGTGTATCAATGCCACTGAGTTTCCTAAATTGGATACTAATGTCTGTAGGAAGGCAAACTATACAAATTATTTATGTGGGGACCCCACAGGTGAGAGAAATGAAGAGGGCTGAGGAGACAAGAGTGAACCCTTAAGCCCCATCACCAGGTGTAGGATGGGTAAGGGGGAATCATAGTTAGGGGCCAGGAAATGGAAAACTGACTAGATTCTTATCTTTAAAAAACTCTGTTTAGAGTGACTTACATGGCTTCTGTTTCTTTTGCCAGCTTCCTCAGCAACAGTGCCCAGTTGTGCCAGTTCCTCCTGTGGGCTTCCTTAAACCTTAAACCTGGGAGCTCACCCCGCTTCTCCCATTGGTAAAGTTCCCCATTTTCTTGTCTTTCTCCCCAACTAGCCTGGAACCTCCTTGAGGGTCAGGGCTTCTATCCTTCCTTGTGGTGTCTCATCACATAGCACAGGGCCTGGGATATAGAAGTGCTCCCCAAATAGTAACTGCAGAGTTGGAAATCGCTATGGAAACAGTGTAGGGTGGGGGTCATGAGCGTGAGCTTCCTGGTTAGATGTGGGCTTGACTCACCGCCCTGCCAGCTCACTGTACACACTTTGCTGATGTTGTGTTATGGTTTCTAGATTCTACTACTGACATTACAGGACTTCAGATTTTGTAAAACACTTTGAGATTGTCCTGGAAAAGATAACACATATAACTAAGTGTCTATCTCTCTGTAACAATGTAACACCTAACCTAGGAAGACAATCCTAGGAAGGAGTTCACTATGCACCTGCCTGGAATGGTTTCCACTGACGGCCTTACAAATATTAAAACCTGAAATTCTAGCTATACACAATGCCTTGGACTTATATTAAAGGTTGGATTGGTGGAGTGGACACATGAATATCCTCTGAGTAGGTAAGAACCACTCAAGCAGATAAGCAAACCTGGGCATCTTCGAATGTGTATCTCCCTCCATCTTTGACATTTTGACTGGTTATCTCGTAGCTATGAGAATCCAGGTTGATTGCACTCGGGGCCCCTGGAGCCAGAAACTCTTGCCAGATTTCTTCTACCCTCTTGGCCACATCCTGTAGGGGTTGTTTCTTGAGGTCTTGGACAGCCAACCAGAACCTGAAGTGGAAGCATAAAGAACGTCAGTTCCAGGGGGCTCAGCATCTGGACTCTGCTGGATGTGGTCCCAGAACTGACATCCTATGAAATTCACTCTGCTGCATCCCCCAGCCTTCCCTGCTGCCACTGCCTAGGTAACAAAGATGATAGGGACTGCTGGAAATTCATAGGGTGTTCCATTACTGTGGAGAACCGAAAGGAAGTGCCCATTAGAAAATCATTGTGCTTCTGGTTACCAAAAAGAGGTTTCTTTCCCTTTATATCCACGTTTCTCAACCTCAGCAGTATTTCCATTTTGGGCTCAGTAATTCTGTTGTGGGGCTTCCCCGTGCACTGTAGGATGTTTACCAGCAATCGTGGCCTCTACACAACCAGATGCCAGTGGTGACCTCTCCCTAAGTTGTGACAACCAAAAATGTTTCCAGATATTACCAAATGTCTCCTAGGAGGTTAAGTCACCCCTGGTTGAGAGCCAGTGCTCTTACATAGGTGCCTGACACAGATAATGTGAATTCCTTTGTCATATCTGGTTGGGATCAGCTTGCAGCATCAAAATTAAGGGAATCACAGAGACAGATAGAATCTTGGGATCATAGAGAATATCTGAGCTTAAGTACCCAGCTATTCATGTTGCAGTTGGAAAAGCAGCCAATTTGCAAGGTTAGTGTCCAGCATGATGCTTGGTATATAGTAGGTGCTCAATAAGTGGCTATTGGATTGAAGATGGGCTCATGAGGAACAAAGCTGAAGAGGCATACATGGGGAACCTCTATGCCAAAAGAATACTGGAGCGAAAAGCCTCTTTCTCATTTCCATATGTGCCTTCATGAATTCCTCAGCATCAGCATGGCAGCGGCTGTTGGAAGAGCTGGGTGTGAGCTCTTTTCTGCTGAGAGCAGCAGCAAACAGAGCTAAGCTTGGACAACAGCTCCCTGGTCGTGAGGATGGTTCCCAAGGCAGCCCCGGGGAGGGCTTGCAGCAGGACCCAGATCTGGGTAGCACACTTTGTGCCTTGTGAACAAGACAGGCCAGTGTCCTCATCAATGAGACATGAGGACAGGCCCCGGGCTATGTGGTTCCCACAACCACAGGATTCACACATACTCAAGTCAGTGAAAGGGCAGGGACAGAGAAGCTGAACCACGGCATGGTGGAAAGTGCATTCAATCTGTCATCGAATTGCACCCAAAGTAAGATGTACTTGTTTTTTCCTTTTTTTTTTTTTTTAAAGGTTAAGCATGTTTTTCTGTTGCTGTTCCTAGAATTGTCTTTGGAGACAAGTGCATGGCCCAAAGGCGCCACTCAGTGGCTAACTGCGGGAATACAGCTCCATTTCTATAAGGAGATTGTGTGTGTGTGTGTGTGTGTGTGTGTGTGTGTGTGTGTGTGTGTGAGTATGTGCTGGGGCTCAATGGACTCCAACTCTTCCCCTGCTTTGCCCTTTGGGATTCTAATAATTTCTTTAAAGAAAACCTTCATGATTCTCTTGTTGGTCCTGAAGAGTGAGAGGCAGGGAAGGAGATTTAATGACCTCACTTGGCCAGAAGATCAGGAAACACAGTTCTGTCTTCATCTTGACTATGCTGCTGTCTTGGAATTGTGCCTTTCTGGGTATCTCTTTCCTTATCTGTAAAGTGGGTTCGAAGTGGGTGGCAGGATATATGATGTGGGCCTGAAGACGTTCCCACCAAGGTGTAACCAAAATGCTTTCAGGTCCTGCAGGTGGGAGCCATGGAGGGGTCAAGACGGCGACCACAGGTTCAGTACCAGCCCTTCCTCCTGGGTGGCTGGGCAGAAACTGCCAGGGGTTCTTGCTGCTGCCATCTGTGGTCACCTGCCTCTCACCATCAGCCTGCTTTCTTTCTTCCACAGGTCTGGTGCTCATATTCTCTGGCAACCGGGGAGAGGACTGTAAGGGTTCCCTGAGCAAAGTGCAAAGGGTTGGAGGCAGAGTTTGAAAGGGACTATGAACCTGCCTGGTTGTTCAGGCGGCCTCTGAGACTCAGCTGGGGACTGGGGCTCTTTCACCTCCCAGCCTTGTGCCTCAGGTTCCTTAGGTCTCCCCGTCCCACCCTCCAAGTCTGCCATGGAATGAAGGAGGTGGCCGGAACACAAAGATGAAAATAGTCATCTGGTGATGACAGTGCCTCTAGGCTTTCTTTGTCTGGAGGGCAGGTGAGATTTAGGAAACCCAGCTCTAAAGAAGGAAGCTGGGGTGGGTTTTTCAAAGGACTGGGAAGAGTGCTCATGAGCAACTCACCAAAGACTAGGTGAGTCGTGGGGCTGGTAGGAGAAGGGCCCCCCTCAGGGAGTCGCCTCTGGGCCGAGTCCCTGGGCTGGAAGCACCTCCTCTGGGCCAGCATCCTTCCCAGGCTACTAGACCCTGTAGTTTCTCACACAAATGGATGGTTCCCGGGCAATTTCCTGCTCCCTCAATCAATGTCATGTGGGGCGTCACCTTCTGTCACTTGTTCCAGTCTGCTCCGAGGAGGAGCTCTCAAGCTCCGGGAAGGCCCTGAGGACCCAGCAGCTTCTGAGCTCTGCAGGCTCCCGTGGTTGCTGAGGCCTCAGAGCCCCTTTGGGCAGAATGATTTGGGAGCCACATGAAGGCACATCACCCAGCCGGGTACAGAGAAGGGCTAAAGTGGATGTGGATGGAGATTTCAGAGTCCAATGTGACAAAGTTTTACATGAAAGTGAAAAGGTTCCCTTGGTCATACACCAAGAATTTTTGAAAATAAAAGTACAAGAGGGAAACCACGGCCCGTTAGAAGAGGAGGAGGAGGAGATGGCATTCCTCAGACAGCCGCTTTTCCCTCCCCGCCCTCCCGGGGACCCACCCAGCCTTCTGTCTGCCTTGGAGGTGACCTGCCTTATCCTTCTCAGGTGACAGCAAAAATGCTGTCACAACAGCATCCTGACATCCCATATGTGTTTACCGTCACCGGCCTCGAAGAACCTTTGTGTCAATTTGAAATTCAGAGCAGGCTGTGGTTTGCGTTTGCCATCTGTGAGCCCACGGGCCAGGCGGGAGCGCGGGCCGAGGCCTCCGAGACCCCCGGCCGCGCTGCCCCCCGGGGCCACGGCACCCCCACCTAGGGCAGAGGCCGGCCCCCGAGGCTCCGACCGTCTGCCCTTGTCGGAAGCCTGCAGGTACGGCTCCTCGTGGGGGCCGCGGCAGGGAGGAAGATGCCAGCCAAGCCTCGGTGGCTTGCGGCAGAAGGGCTGTCATGACTGGCAGGCCGCGAGGACTCGCTGGTATCAGGGAGACCATCTGTCCCGCTTCGCTGCAGCCGGGCGCCGGCGTGCGAGCCCTGCGGACGCTTCGGGAATGCGGGCAGCCGCTGGCCTGTGCAGGGAGGCGGCGGGGGCCAGAGGCCACGGGCCCTGCAGCCCGGGTGGGCCTGGGGGTAGTGCCCGCGCTGCCCCTGCCCCGGGGCGCCCCCTCTGTCCCCCGGACGGTGCTGATGAGCCCTGGGGTTCTCTCCTGGAGACTGGCTGGAAGCAGGAAAACCACGCAGCCGTTGTCATCCTGCCTCTTGCCAGGGGCTCTGGGCAGCCCCTCAGTTCTTACTTTACCTATTTTTTCCATAAACAGGGATTTTCATGGTTTAGGGAGGAAAAAATTTAGCTTTTAGCTCATTCCCATTGAAAAGCAAACTCTAGGCGGAAGGAAGGCTTTCTATGCCCTCTGCTGGTCAACAGAGACTCAGGGAAAAGACGAGGCAGGTGACTTGGGGCCCCGGCTGGGCAGAAATCCTCAGGGGCCTGGCGGCCACCAGGCAGGCCACCAGCACCAGCGGCCACGGGCGGCTGACTCACGCTCACCGGGCAGCGGCTGAGGTGCCGAGGATTGCCACAGCCACGTGTGAGCCACCTGTGTTCCGATTAATCAGGTGTTTGGTTAGCGGTGAGTCCCCGCCGGGTCCTCCTAGGACCGGGGGCAACTGGCGGAGAGCGGGGCTCTCCAGGCAAACGTGGCAACTCCCCCATGCTCTCTTTAATTGCTTCTCCCTTCAGCTGACACCGCGTGGAACTGGGATAATCAATCTGCAGGTTAGAAGAACAACCACGTCCTCTCAGGAGACGTTACAGCTCATAAAAAATGTAGGGGGAACGCGCTTTGCTGTGGGTTTTGAGTTTTAACTCGTGGCCTGCCATGCAGCAGAGGGTGCCTCGAGCCGGGGAGGACAGAGACTGGTTTAGGGGAGGTGGAGAGGGGGCAAGGGACTCCTGTCACCATTCTGGGAGAACTCAAGAGCCGGGAGGACGAAGTCAGATAATGCACTCCAAGGCTCGGCTTCTCGCCTTGTGGATGAGAGCCCATGCGCATTCTACAGCCCCTCCGACCCCAACAGCTGTTTCTAGGGGCTCACTCCAACTGAACGGAGCCCTGGGCTCAGCTCGGGGTGTCAACAGGGAGCGTACATTCTCACGCTGTGCGGGCTGCAGCAAAATGCACTGGCCATGCCCCGTCCAGGTCCTGAGGACGACGCCTCTCTCCCATCTCACCTCCTGATGAAAGGGGACTTGAACTTACATCGTTTTATCATAGACCTCTTTCCTCTAAGGATCCAGGGTGACACTTTGTTGTCGTGAGAGCGATTTCTGCGTCCTTTGGGGCTCCTCTGTTCTGTACTCTGAAGCTCTGGTACAGATTCCACTTGGTCACTTAACTGGCACTCCAGGTGCCGTGCAAAAATGTTATGATCTAAGTAGCCCTTTTGCTGGCAAGATGCGAGGAAGACAAAATGGAGATGCCCTTTGCAATGTATCCAGTCGAGTTCTGGTTTTTCTTTTTTTCCCATCCTCTGTTGCCAACTGCCTGGGCTGTTGATCAATCCTGGAAGAAGAGATGATCCCTAGCGTGGCCAACACAACAGATGGCAGGATCCCCGAGTTATGCCACATGATACAGCTCCAGGGGGTGCCATTCACATGGACCATGGTGCAGGTGCAACTGCAGCGCCCCCGTGGCTGCCCTGGAAAGCTCTGAGTCCTTGGGTCCTGGGTCCTGGTGGCTGCTAAGCCAGTAGCTGTGGCCAGAGGAATGAATACAAAGGGGAAGAGCAAAACCACCTGGTTCTGGATGACTGAAGAGTCCTAGGTAGCTGTGTGATTTCAAACTGAACTTTCCCCCATATATCCAATTATGCTGAATATCATAAAAGTGGAACTTGGGTCTCCAGAGAGGATTTGATAAGCTCTTGGGCTGTACTTTTTATCTCTGGCTGTTCTATTTTCTTTATCCTCTCTCCTGCCATGGATCAGAGGGGGTCCCTCTTTAAGTGTGGATTTATGCATTCATGCCGGGGGTGTAGATTAGCCACTGGCACACTCGCAAGCCCCCCCCCAACTCTTTCACTCAAGATTGAGTGTAGCCTCCTGACAGAGGAGGAGGGAACTGGCAGAGGGACAAGAGTAATGGCAGGATGAGGTGCTGAACACCTGCCAGGGACATACTCCTTCAGGCCCTCCTGGCCTTAAATGTAATGCATTTTTGTTACACTAGTTTGAAGCGATGTGTGGCTCTGGCTGCACTCAGACTGGGCACAGACGTGCTGAGCCAGCAGATGCTCCTGATCAAAATGACCCTCAAAATGACCAGGACCCTGTGGTCATTCTGCAAAGTCTGTGTAATGGTGCAGGTGGCCGAGGATCATAAAAGGCCACTCGTGGGCTGAGAAATAATCTGGTAAAGGAGGCCTCTATACCACTTTATTTTGGGGGCCCCACAGGGGACAGAGATGAAAAAGAGAAATGGGAAAGCAAGACTCCCAGGGGTGGCTCCCGGGGACCAAGCTCTGCGTGGGTCCTGGGCTGGTGCACAGAAAGGCTGCCTGAGTGCATCATGCTTCCTAATCAGGACCCACCTCTGCGCACAGCCGGGGAGGCTGGTTCGAACACTGCCCTAATGAGGAGTTTTAGAAGTCAAGCCTTCTGTTACAAATTTTGATTAGGAATTGAAGCAAAGCTCTGAAGTGTGTTCAGAATAACGCCTCAGCGTTAAGGAAACACCCTTGTGTCCTGACCTGGAATCAGATATGCAGCCCTTATCTGTTTTACGTTAGGTACCTGGTTGCCTAGAAAAGGCCTGGATGCATACAGTTAACTGGCATCTATGCGTCCTCCTGGGACTGTGTGATGTGGGAGTCCCACTGCCACACCTTTGCTCATAGGGTCTTCGGCTTAGAATACTCTCCCTCCTTTTTTGTCTATCGGTATCCTGTGCATTCTTCAAAGTCCAGCTTATGATTTGCCTACTCTGGCTTACATTCATGCCTCCCTTTTAAAAACATTTCCAAAAGAGTTCTTAGAGTTTATACTCATTTACATTCATTTAATGATTTAATAGTTTCTTGTGTTTTCTCCTCAAGGACCCACAAGGTCGTTGTAGGCAAAGATCACGTATCTTGACTTTTGTGCATCTCTCAGCAAACTCTTGCAGGGCTTGATACAACATAGGTGTGTGGATAAATATCATTTGATTGATATATGGGACTGATATGGTCTCTACTGCCAAATAAATAACATGGACTTTGCACATTTACACTGGAGTGGACAGTCCTTTGCCCACAGTATATGCTCTGACTTTTTAAAGTTAAAAAACATTTTAAAACTTAATAAAACCACCCCTTCTGGAAAAAAAAAACACTAGAAGATGGGAATTAACCTAGCATACAGAAAGGAACCTGGTACCATGAAAACACACTGAGATTTCCATCTGAGAAGTCACCAATTTGCTAAGATCACTAAGGGGGCTCCGACCAGTCACCTTCTCCATAGATCTCTAGGTCTTTTTTTTTTAATTTTTATTTATTTATGATAGTCACACAGAGAGAGAGAGAGAGAGGCAGAGACACAGGCAGAGGGAGAAGCAGGCTCCATGCACCGGGAGCCTGACGTGGGATTCGATCCGGGGTCTCCAGGATCGCGCCCTGGGCCAAAGGCAGGCGCCAAACCGCTGCGCCACCCAGGGATCCCTAGATCTCTAGGTCTACTTCTAATACAATAGAAATCTGAATAAACCACAAGTTCCCAAACTTTTCACGACAGTGGACCCTTTCCCTTTGAATGCTCTCTCCTCCCTCTCTCCATGGACTTCTTGTTCTGAAAGTTTTGTTTTTTCCTTCCACTGAACAGTAATTATTAATGCATCAATACATTTTCCCTCATCTTGATTAGCTGGAGACCAACAGCAACCATCAGATGTTTTCATTGGCAGCAGGTGACCAGAGCGACCGTTACACGGAGTTGATAGCATCCCTCCAAAAGGAAAACCATGTTTTAATTAGCTTTTACAATTATGTCTCCAGGTATTGAACTGTATCTACTTTGGCTTTTTGAAATTCTGAAATGAGCTCAGGGATCCCTCTTTTTTCCTGGTTAGCCTGTCAAGCATTCGGGATCCCCAAGTGAGAAGTTTTGAAGGCGAGGCTCTCTGAGCTGCCTTTCCACTCTGCAGCATTATGGTTCTCTGGTTTTAGCTAATGCACGGTGTCATCAAATGATCATGTCACCATTTGATCATTTACTTATTACGGGAGACATGTTTCCAACAGCTTGAACAGATGTCACCTGGACTTACAGAACAAAAAATGCTGGTTTCGAGGAGTGCTGACATGGTGATACCAGAGCTGCGCATCAAGTCTGCCCTTCCCCGCTCCTGCCAGAGCCAGGTTAGCTGGGATGTGAGTCGGCACCATCACATTTTATTGAGAAAGGAAGCCTGAACATGTGACTCTCATATACACACTCGGCACGCAGCTGCAGCCTTTGCGAGAGTTACCTGAGGTTTTCTGAGCTGAACTCCGACTCCAGGAATCTCCGGAACTGGTCCCGCCCCACCTGGTCCTTTAATACCTCGTCGAAAGAGAAGCCCCATCTCTTGACTCGCTGCTGGCTGGGCTCTTTGCTTTTGAGGAGAACAAAGGTTTAGAAAAATGATCAATGCCAGGCAAAAACCTGTGTCATATTCCCTCCGCCAGCTCAAATCTGTTTTTGCTGCCACACGCCGAAGGGCAACGTCTCAAATTTAAGTGATGGATTCTATAAACCTGCACACACGCCAGATGCAGACTTTGCACAACATCAGCCAACAGTAAAACGTCTCTTTGGAGAAGGCATTTAGGTGAGGGTCACCAGGATACCCACCTAGTGGCCGCTGTCCTCAGGAAATGAAACAGCCCCGTTGATTTGGCTTCCCTTCCCATGGCCTGGGCCTGTCAGTAATAGCCCAACTCTCGACTCTACCACCTTTAGTCTCATTTAGATCTGAGTGACATGAGAAGGGTCAGAAATGCATCAGCTCATCCAGGATAAACCCTACCACTTGCTTAGAAGCAGAATGTTGTGTCTCTTGGACAACCCACCTGCTCAGTGTTTCCTATGTTCCAGGCATTGTTCCGAGCATCTTAACTCTGCTAACTCACTGGGTCCTCACTTTACAGATAGGGAAACTGAGGCCTAGTGATCATTTGCCCAGAAACACACTAGGAAGTGATGGGAGTCCAGACGAGTCCAGACAGTGTGGCTCCAGAGTATAGCTCTTAGCCTGGCTGTGCTGTCCCACACCCATGGGACCCTCCTCAGACCAAAGGAGGGGTTGGTCTTATTCTTTTGCTGTCAGAAGATAAGACTATTTCCTTCAGCTCTGTAGTTCCATTTGCAATTCACTTGTGTACATATTCCACTGACCCTTCAAGTAGAAATAGGGTCCTAAGTCATAAGCCACATGCCATAACTGCCCATAGGACAGAGATCAGGACATCCAGATAGCTGCAAGTTCAGCCTTCAGCAGAAATAAGGTAGTCTGGAGAGACGGGATGCCCTGATGCAGTAGTTTCTTAGGGTGGCCATAACAAAATATCAACCTACAGAGTGGCTTAAAATAACAAAAATCTGTTCTCTCATAGTTTTGGAGGCTAGAAGTCTAAAATCAAGGTGTTGGCAGGGCCATGCTCTCTCTGAAGGCTGTAGGGGAGACTTAGTTTCATGCCTTTCTCTTAGCTTCTGGTGAAGCCAGCAATTCTTGGTGATTCTTGGCCTACAAGGCATCATTCCAATCTCTGCCTTTGTCTTCACATGGTGTTCTCCCTGTATGTCTATTTTCATGTGGCATGCACTCTGCCCATGCATGTGTCTGTTTTCTCTCTATATAAAGATACCAGTCATATTGGATTAGGAGGCCACCTACTCCAGTTTGACCCCTTCTTAACCAACTGTATCTGAAAGAGCCTTATTTCCAAATAAAATCAAGTTCAGAAGTCCTGGGAAGGATATGAATTTTTGGGTGACACTACTCAACCTAAGTACATCTGGGTTCCCTCAACTATCCATTATCCACGGTCCTGTTTCTACATGTGGGTGCTCCACATCTGTTCCTTTTGTCCTAGTACATTTGGCCATTGGGATCTGTTCAATTAAGAGCTTCTTAGACCCAGCTTCTCTAGACATGTGTTTCCTGCATCACTTGGGTATTTCAAGCATCACTCTCTTTAAGGTTCAAGATCAGATTTGAACATGTTGCTACCACTGAATGGTTTGTGTGGTTATAAAATAATTTTGAAAATTAAAACATCTCTGGAAATTCATCACCAGGTAACTGGTACAATAAATTTCCCTTGGCCTAACTCCAACAAATAATTCATGGAACTCACAGCCTTTGTTTCTAATCATTGCATAGAAATGCCTCCTTATGACATATGTTTGCTTACAGTTTGCACCATTGTTTAACCTTTCAAGGGTATGTCACTGGCCCTCCAGCTACCTTGTGAGCTCTTTGAGGGCAGAGACCATGTCTCATGAATCTTTGTGTTCATCATAGGGTTTTCACACCGCAAATGTTCTGCATTAAGAGGAAATCAATAAGAAAATGTGTATAGTGATGTGGATGATATGTCCTTATCCTGACAGGATTTTCTAATTGCTAGGTGGATGCCTTTTCTTTAATTTGTCTTCTGTGTCCAGTTCTCACCAAATTCCTATGGCCCACTGGGCAGCTCAAACCAGCAGGGAGCAAAGACAGGTGGCTCCCCAGTGGAGTCCATCTTTCATTTCCACTGATCTCTCAGCCTAAGCATGGTAGAAATCCCCCACATTGAGAATAAGAAAGCCATACTCAGAAGAAGCAGCCATCTGTAAAACATTTCTGCAGGGCCAATGTAGTGCTACACAAGGAGATTTCCTTACTGTGGTCCCTTTGAATCTCAATATAAGCCTGCAAAGTGAAGATTTATATTCAGATGTCCAGAGCTCAAGAGAGGTCAGAATGCCCAAAGCCACATGGTTGGTAAAAGGCAATCTGGAATTGGTACTTGGTCTGCCTGTATCTAAAGCCTTTCTTTTTTTCCCATTACCTTGCCTTTTATTACATTTCCCTCATTTGATATCCAAATGAAGATTTAGGGAATGATGTAAGTCATCTTGAAAATACCTTTGAGTCGTTAGAAAAATTATGAAACAAGGGACAGTTCCTTAAACAGAAAATATCCAGTGATGCCACTTTCGGATCAAGGCTATTGAAGGAACAATGGCAATTTTATTTGATGCCCCAAGAACGGCTGTGGGGTCCTGACTACTCTGATGGCAAGTGGTCCCGGTATGTAATGCTGTGTAACAAATCATCCCCAAACTCTGGCTTAAAATGGTGATTTATTATTTGTTCTCACTGTCCCCTGGGTTGACTGGACTCAGCTGGGTGGTTCTCATATGTGGTCTTTTTTTTAAATTTTTATTTATTTATTTATGATAGTCACAGAGAGAGAGAGAGAGGCAGAGACACAGGCAGAGGGAGAAGCAGGCTCCATGCACCAGGAGCCCGACGTGGGACTCGATCCCGGGTCTCCAGGATCGCGCCCTGGGCCAAAGGCAGGCGCCAAACCACTGCGCCACCCAGGGATCCCTCATATGTGGTCTTAAGTAGCTGTAGCTAGAATCTGGGGATGGGATCATTGGAAGGCTCAACTGGGCTGCACACCCAAGATTGTGCATCACATGGCAAGGGATACTGGTTGTTTGTCAGGAGCTCAGCCGGGGTTGTTGATGACATGGTCTCATCGATGGCCTGGGATTCTCACAGCATGGCCGGTGGCTTCCAAGAAGGAATGTCTCAGGAGCAAATGTCTTTAAATGACTGAGGTATAAGACATAGAGCTGCTTTATGACCTGTTCTCAGAATGTTACTTCTGCCACACTCTATTGTTCCAATGAGGTTCCACGGCCAGCCCAGGCGAAAAGGTAGGGAGGTGTCACCTTCTGATGTAAGAAGTAGCCCATGCACACAAAGAGGGAAGGCGCAGAAGGGGCCGTATTTAGAGACTGACCACCACAGGGAAGAAGCTTGACTAATATGCTGGACTAATACTTTGGTCAGACTTGCTGAGTATAGGCAGTGGTGTCTGGGGATAGTCGCTGCCTCTCAGCAGGTCAGCCTGGCTGGTAGTTGGGTACCTAGGGCCAAACAGGATAAACCAGATTCCTTGTGGTTCTTGGCTCATGCACCTGATGTCCAGTGGAGAAAGAAAGATAAACCTGAATCACATGGAGAAAGCAAATTATGAACCACAATTCTGGCAATGCCACATTTTTGTTAGATCCACTATCTGGTTGATGGCATGACCAGGAGTACTTTCCAGAGGCCTCCCTGAGACGCTCTCCTGGTGGTATTTAGACTACAGGGTTCTCTCCAACTGCAACCTGGCAACTTTCAGCTGATTCTTCCTCCACGGTGAGCCCTGGCTGTCACTCTTCTCTTTAAACTTTACTTCTCAGAATGTTTTATCAGATAGACATAAATAAGATCTTTGCCCATCCCTAAAAGGGCAATCTTTTATTGCCCTCTGAACATATCCTTGGATTTCTAGATCTAATAGTTTATCTGAGAAGGAGAAAGGATTTAAGTACAATTTTCTGTTATTTATGCTATATCCTGTATCGCCTTGCCAGTTATCCTGTTAAGTCCTGTTGCTGTCCTCCACTGGGCCGTCTATATGGCAGAGACAGTATGATGAACTCCGTAGAATACAGACACTGTGTGATGCCCCCTACTCTGGACATCATAACGAGTCTGCCCTTTGCAGACTTTGAGGAGCTCCTTGCTCAGGCCCAGTAGAAATCAAAGCCCAGCTCAGACTAACCTGAGTTCCCAAGGGGAGTCCTGCTTTCCTACCTACGTCCTCCACTTTTCAACAAGCCTCCCACAACCCGCCACTCATCTTCACCCCAAATCTCCTTCCCATGAGGTGTTGGAGGGGGTAGAAGCCTTTACTAAGATTCAAAGGTCTTGAGAAGGGGGCTACCTATTGCACCACCCAGCAGCAGGCTTTTAAAAAATCATATGCTTGACTTTCCTGCTTTTGCAAAGTCCCTGGACACCAGCAGTACTAGGGCTCCTCCTGGCCTTGCACCAAGGCCTGATCTCTCCCACACTCTGCTCTTCCTTGCTTCTCACTGCACTTCTCACTGCTTCTCAGTGCACTTCTCACTGCACTTAAGTTTCCCCTCTCAGAAACAAAAAATACATTCTTCTCATTTTCTTATGTCACAAGTCCCTCCCCTTGTTTGAGTCTCTGTCAGCACCCCTGCCTTCAGAGCCTGATTTTTGTGCCTAAGTGACTTAACCATGTCCTTTGCCAAATGAGAAGGAATCCTGAGGCTGGGAGGGAGGATAGCATGTTTTATGCACCTTGTTACATTTGCATCTTGAGAGATCATTTTGTTTGGAAGCAGCACATAGTAAGTTCTCAATACGTATTTGCAATAGTCACTCCTTCATCTAGCCTCCATCCAGTCTATACTTTTTGAATGCCTACTATGTGTCAGACATAGTCCTATTTCAGTTTTATTTTAAGTCCTAACTAGAAAGAGAACCAGGGGGATGATGTGCTAGAGAATAGCTGAATGGGTGGCGTGACC